ATGACACTCGATTCTTTAATAATTTTAATACTTTATATCAAGTAATTTATAACTTAGGAATTCAGAAAAATACTATCTTTCATTCATGTATTGCTTCAAATACCTTAATCGGCCGGGGTCGGCTCTCACCCGTTAATATCTTTTTTCTATAGTGGCAGGCTATATGCATATCTCCTTGAAGTATACATATGTACAACTTCCCTCTAACTCTGGGTTGGAACGCTGTCTTTTTGTGGCATTGGAATAGCTCAGTTGGTAGGGAGTTGTTTTTTGGTCTGCGATTAGTTGTGATTTCAAATACCCTTCATGTTAAGAAAAATTTTGAAGCACTGTGCCAGTGTTCCGAGAGTCGGACCGGTGTGCGCTTTCACCACCTAAAACCTAATGTTATTACGATGGCATTATAGACGGTAGATAATGAGTTAAAATTATTACAACACCATAGGACGTGCTTTATTGAAATTGATTACATCAATTATATCACAATACGTGTTGCCCTGAAAATGTCACAATATGATAGATTTATCGCTAACGATTTAATATTTATCACAATACACAAAGTCTATGTTGCACATTCTAAAAATAACGAGTTGTTTTTAATACATTTATCACAATGAGTGTCACGTTTGATTTTATTATATTACGATGTTATAAATTATCCCATTTGTTAGTTTTTCATGTGTTGTTTCAAACTTATCACATTTGTTAGTTTTTCAGGTGTTGTTTCAAACTTATCACATTTGTTAGTTTTTTAAGGTGTTGTTTCAAACTTATCACATTTGTTACTTTTTTAAGGTGCTGTTTCAAACTTATCACATTTGTTAGTCTTTCAGGCATTGTTTCAAACTTATCACATTTGTTAGTTTTTCAGGTGTTGTTTCAAACTTATCACATTTGTTAGTTTTTTAAGGTGTTGTTTCAAACTTATCACATTTGTTACTTTTTTAAGGTGCTGTTTCAAACTTATCACATTTGTTAATCTTTCAGGTGTTGTTTCAAACTTATCACATTTGTTAGTTTTTCAGGTGTTGTTTCAAACTTATCACATTTGTTAGTTTTTTCAGGTGTTGATTCAAACTTATCACATTTGTTAGTTTTTTATCTGTTGTTTCAAACTTATGACATTTGTTAGTTTTTCAGGTGTTGTTTCAAACTTATGACATTGTTAGTTTTTTAAGGTGTTGTTTCAAACTTATCACATTTGTTAGTTTTTTAAGGTGTTGATTCAAACTTATCACATTTGTTAGTTTTTTATCTGTTGTTTCAAACTTATGACATTTGTTAGTTTTTCAGGTGTTGTTTCAAACTTATGACATTGTTAGTTTTTTAAGGCGTTATTCACAATTGGGATTCTTTTCAAGTTCATCACTTTACTTAGTTTTTTCACCATAGGATTTGTTTAAATTTATCACATTTGTTAGTGTTTTAACAATAGAGGTTGTTTTCAAATTAATAACATTAGTTTTTCACAATAGAGTTTTTAATAAAATTTATCCCATTTGTTAGTTTTTTCACCAAAAAGGTTTCTTATAAAATTTATCACATTTGTTATTTTTTTCACCATAGTGGTTGTTTAGAATTTATCACATTTGTTAGTTTTTCAGGAGCTGTTTTAAAATTTATCCCATTTGATAGTTTTTTCAGGTGTTGTTTCAAACTTATTACATTTGTTATGTTTTTTCATGGTTTGTTTTCAAATATATCACATTTGTTAGTTTTTTTCACAAAATGGCTTGTTTTCATATGTATCACATTTGTTAGTTTTTCGCAATAGAGATTCTTATAAAATTTATCATATTTGTTAGTTTTTTTCACAATTGGGATTCTTTTCAAGTTCATCACATTACTTAGTTTTTTCACCATAGGATTTGTTTAAATTTATCACATTTGTTAGTGTATTAACAATAGAGGTTGTTTTCAAATTTGTCACATTTGTTAATTTTTTCACAGTTTGGGTTATTTTCAAGTTCATAACAATAGATCTTGTTTTCAAATTGATCACACTTGTTTTTTTTCTATAATAGGGGTTGTTTTATTTCGTGGAGGGGGTGATTAAATGAGCGTTTTCGTTATATTGAGATCATTTTTATTTCGTAAAAAGGGTACCTAAATCGTTGTAGCTGATGAAACAATACGCCCTTTATATCATTGATATGCAGTAATATAACAGAAAACCCCGAGGCAGAATGTTTAAAAGACAACACTACTTGCATACTTCTGGAGATTTTCCAAACATAAGTACTCGGCAAACCAAAATAGAAATTGAATTTTAGTGGTAAATATGAGAGTATAGACAATCACTTGATAAAAATGGAGAGAGTCCACGAAGAATAAATAAACTAATAATGGATTGATATAAATATTTATTACATTTGCGGGTACTTCTGAGAATGTTTCCCGGTATTGAAGACTTTGCATCTCGGATCGACGATTTTTCAGTAGATTAAATCCAGCAGTTGCTCCCAGATTCTGCTAGCTAATCAGAAGGTTGATCTTATCTCTATTCAGTTATATAAATAGTATTTGAATTGAATAGCTTTTCTTTTAATGCACTCTTGAATATTTAACTTACAATGAATCATACAAGAATGCATGGGCAAGGACGTTTAGGTCCTCGTGAGAACATTCAGATAAATGAAAATGAATTTGTAGACAGTAGCCAAACAATAAACTGAACTTGGGTCCCATTGTTCAATAATGACGAAAGAGCTAGCCTTATAAAAAATATATATATTTTCTTCACAACCACAAAAAGCAGTAAAATACACTTGAAGTACGTTATTGTCATTTCATGAAAATCGATCTTTAGATATATATTCAAACAATAGAAAAATAATACTGTCCTTTCAATTTTTCAATATCAAGCGTGGAGGACCACGTCACCAAAATGGCGCCTTTCGGTAACTTGGTAACGTCAAGTTGATCGAACTCTTTTATGAAAAGGCTTAATCTTAATATATTATTTCTAAGTAGTAGACAAAAGAAGAGGTTCTAAAGACTTGCTAACAGGCTAGAAGGGAGTTAAATCATAAATATTTATTAGCGATTGAAGTTTGAATAGATCTTACAGACAATAGATTTGAACGTCGATCGATACCTTCTTTGTTTTTTGATGGGACGACTCAATCAATAATAAATAACATGACTAGGTTCTAGTGTTGCCTGCAATTCAATTGCCAGGTACAAAGACATTTTACTTCAGGTATTTGTTTAAATGCCAGGATAGTTCCATTTCTTTTTATACTTCTGATTCTTTTTGTAAGTATTTTTAAGAAATGTAATTTTGTACTTTATAGGTACTATATTCTTAAAGAGATTTAGACAGGTACTTTATTCTGAAAGTGATTTATACAGGTACTATATTGTGAAAGAGATATAGATAGGATCTATATTCTAAAAGGGATTTAGACAGACAGGTACTATATTTTGAAAGAGATTTAGACAGGTATAATATTCTGATATGGATTTAGACAGGTGCTATATTCTGAAAGAGATTTAGATAGGATCTATATTCTGAAAGGGATTTAGACAGGTACTATATTCTGAAAGAGATTTAGATAGGATCTATATTCTGAAAGGGATTTAGACAGGTACTATATTCTGAAAGAGATTTAGATAAGATCTATATTCTGAAAGGGATTTAGACAGGTACTATATTCTGAAAGAGATTAAGTCATGTTCTATATTCTGAAAATGATTAAATCAAATGAAATGAATGGAGTTTTACGCCCTACTCAGAAAGAGATTAAGGCGTGTACTATATTCTGAAATAGATTTAGACACGTACTATATTCTGAAAGAGATTTAGATAGGATCTATATTCTGAAAGAGATTTAGACAGGTATCATATTTTGAATAGATTTAGACACGTATAATATTTTCAAATAGATTTAGACACGTACTATCCTTAAATATTTATTATTATATTATCCTGTATGAGATTTAGACAGGTATCATATCCCGAAAGAGATTTTGACAATTACTGTTTTCCTATTTCCGAATGAGATTTAGACATGCACTAATTTCAGCAAGAGACTTAGACAGATACAATATTCCAAATGAGATTTAGTTAGGATCTATATTCTGAAAGATATTAAGTCATGTTCTATATTCTGAAAATGATTAAATCAGATGAAATGAATGGAGTTTTACGCCCTACTCAGAAATAGATTAAGACTCGTACTATATTCTGAAAGAGATTTAGACACGTACTATCCTTAAATATTTATTATTATATTATCCTGTATGAGATTTAGACAGGTATCATATCCCGAAGGATATTTTGGCAATTACTGTTTTCCTATATCCAAAAGAGATTTAGACATGCACTATTTTCAGCAAGAGATTTAGACAGATACAATAATCTGAATGAGATTTAGGCAGTTACAATATTCTGAATGAGATTTAGGCAGATACAATATTCCGAATGAGATTAAGACAGGTACTATAAGAGGTTTAGACAGGTATACAATTTTTTTTCTTTGTAAGAATTACTCCAAAATTCAGAAGGCACCTTTTTCATGGAAAACAAATTAATCGGTTTTTTTCTTTGCTGAAAATGTCCTTATTGGGTATTAGTTCAATGAAAGGGAATATATTTCAGATTTTATTAACATCATAATATTTTTCGACAAGAAATTTTAAAAAGACTGGTACTTGTTTTTTGAAAATGGTGGAATCTATTAAGCGGTAATTTAGTGAAAAGATGTCTTATATCGCTAAAAATAACAGGTCAAAATATTATAATCATAGCTTTGATACTTGAAAATTCCTGAAATGAAAAGTTTTATCGTTATTTCTGGTCACTCACTTAAGACACATTTATTCAGTTCTATACATTTAAAAGAAAACTGCAATCTTTGTAATTTCAGGGATACTATCGTTGAACTACAAGCATGTTCTGAAAAATTAAGACAAACCCCAGAAGATATCACAGTGCTCAAAAACTAATCAAATAACTTTTCACGATGGGAACGACGAAGAAAAAAGATGGATGCTGCAAGAAATTTGCAAAATTTTTGTTTTCACATGTGGGATTATGTGGTATGGTGGTGTTATATTGTGTAGCTGGAGGCTTTATTTTCGAGCATTTAGAGAAAAATAACGAACAAATGATTTGCTATGAATCCAGAAGCGAATACAATCCCATGGAGAACAAAACCATCGAAAGTATACTCAAAATCTTCAACGATTATGGATTTCCAACCGAGAACAACAGAGCTTTAATGGAAGTACAAGTTAAAAGCGTCTTGGAAACGTTCAGGAATAACACTCTTGCTATTGGTTATGATGGGAGAGTTTGCGGAACTTATGGCGAACCAGGTGGTCCTGTCTACGCTTGGTCATGGGCTGGCTCTGTAATGTTTTCAGTTACTGTGATATCCACGATAGGTAAGTAGCTATTCATACCATGCAATTTCTTTAATTTAATTTCTGCCACATCTTAAATACTCAGTTAAGTTAGGATTAGGCTGCGAAATTAACCCCGATATTACATGTTAAAATCTGGTACATGTATGTCTAAAACTTCCAGGAAAAATTAGCCATAAAAGTGTAAAAACAGCCTTGTCTTAAAGAATATTTTAATGTTCATCATCAGTAATGCTATTTTAATTTTTATTAAGCCTATTGTCATTGTTAGTAAATTGCATATAATTACAAAATATCAACCTAATATAAGCACCACCCTTTAGTAAGCAGCCACTTCTGGGCATTACCTTGACCCGCATGCTTAAATGGACATTCCGCTTTTTTGCTAAAAGTTTTCATTATAAAAAAACTTCGTGAATTATACCTGACAATAAAGTATACCATTTATAACTATGTATCTTCTTGATCAAGCTGAATTTATTTTAAAAGGGTTAATTAAAAACTGAGGCTACTAATTATTTGTTAATGAAACAGTTTGACTTAGTTTTGGTGTTCGACTTCATAATGGTTCGATATTATTTGTTGAAAACTTTAGAAAACGAAGGAGAAAAATTCCTTTACAATTAGGCGTTTATTTTACTCAAATCCGTACGCTAGTTTTCTAACAGCTTTCAAAAAGCATAACAAACTTAAAAACCTTACGTAACATTAATACAAGTTTGACTGTACATCAAATAAATCATATAAATCAAATAATAAGGAAATCTTGTCGAAAAGTAGAGATTATCATGTTTTGCCTACGTTTGGAAGTTTATGAAGAGACCATAAAATCCGCAAGTGACCCTGAACTTCATATTGTGTTGGAAAACGACGTAGTTGTTTTATCATGAATGTAAAATAATGTTTGAACGATATAATATCAGCCAATCACCATTATTTCTAGATTGTAGTTGGGAGAAGATTGCGTGTGTAGGAAAACATACTCGTAAGATAAATCATAAATTATGTAGACGCAATGATTGATTAAGACACGAAAACAAATTCAGATTTCGAACATTGAATATATCGGCCTGTGAATTGTGAAGTACATTTAACAGAATCAGGAGCACTTTTAGTTCTTTTGTCCGTAATTCGAAATTTCTTTTGCGAACACTAATCAAATTAAGCCCTTAATAATAAACTATGCATTATCAAATATAAAGCGTTTTACTGGTCTTCGAGTCACCAGCATCTGTTAATTTCGACGTTACACAAGCCATTATTAAAAACAGGGACACTTCTATCGACGTTACTCGTTAATGCCACAGTTTAACATTATTTACGAAGTTGCTGTAAACCACAAACTTTCAGTTACTAATACTAGTTTTGCAACCCTTTTGCGCCAGGTGTGTTGTGGTACAAATCGACTACTAAACATTCGCTGTCCTCAGATGCCTTTGAAAAATTGTTCTCATGACCTTTTGATTGAAATGACATACCTGATCTATCTTCAAAGACAATCAATATTTGAGCAAAGGACGTTAAGAGGAGTGCATTCACCCATGACTCATTGGACATCTTCCGGTGTGTGACAATTCTTCAATTCGATTTTTTTTATTGGGCTAGAAATCAATTCTTCTGAACGCCTGATAAATAGAATCTTACACAATTGTAATCTTTCAACTGAAATATTTTGGGCTTTAGTATATGAAGGGGTGTGATGAGATCGATGGAAAGAACGAATATTACTAACTAATAGTTTTTAAGTGTGACGGATCGTAAAACAAAACCACCTAAAGACTCTTAGTTCTGCATAAGAATAATGACGCACTGCCTAAAACTAGAATATCTCTATTTCAGGATTTGGACACATCGCACCAAAAACGGTATGGGGTCGATTAGTCTGTATTGCATATGCTGTTCTTGGAATCCCTCTTATGTTGTTGTGTTTGGCAAATATCGGCGACGTCCTAGCTGACATATTTAGATTCATTTATGCCAAGATCTGCTGTTGTGGATGCTGCCGACGAAAGAAGAAGGAGCGATCGACCAAGGTTGTAGAGATCAAACCAATGCAGAGAGGCGGCGATAACTGGAAATCTGATAAATCAAATATGGTCATGAATAACTCCGTCAAGGATCATAACGAATTCTCAAAACTTCCTTGTAAATCACCAACTGGAAGCACAGATACCAATGATACCACCAAATTAAAATTATCATCACGATCACCCAGTCCTTTGGCTAAATCCAGTGTGAAAATCGTTCCATTAGATGTAAAAACGATGAATCGACCTGACCCTATGATTCTCGACGATGATAGCGATGATGACGATGATGATTTGGATGAAAAGAAAATCACTGTACCACTTACCATTACTATGATTGTAATTGGTGGCTACATATTCGGCGGTGCAGTATTGTTTGCCTTATGGGAAGGATGGGATTGGCTACAGTCTGGTTATTTCTGTTTTATTACTCTCAGTACCATTGGCTTCGGTGATGTTGTGCCCGGAACAGATTTCGACAATCCACAATCACAAGCTCAACTACTACTTGGCGCCGTATATGTCCTGTTCGGTATGGCTATATTATCTATGTGTTTCTCACTTATGCAGGATGAAATAATAGCGAAATGCAGATGGGTTGGACAAAAACTGGGCATTCTCGAGCCTACCGAGGAATAAGATACCTTTTACTTTCGCCCATGTGATGTAGATTGATACGACACTTATTTAAAGTCTGTGCAATACGTCATCTTTTTAGATGGAGACTTTGGGATAATAATTGAGACATAAATGAGGTCGCGTCAATTTGATTTTTGGTTCTGTAGAATTTGAGTGAGAAAGCGTAGATAGAAACCAGCAAATGCACATCTGTGAAAATCAAAGCACGTATTTGCGTTCGCTTCATGAAGTAGAAATTTCCGATTTGGCAGGCCTCGTCAAAATAAATAAAGCAAGTATCACCTCAATCATATTGAGAGTTTAATTTGCATTAAAACAAGTAATTTGGCATAAACTACCTACTTTGGCATACGACGAACTAAAATTCAAATTGGTGTGGCCTTAGAGGAATATATATCTCGTAGAAGTGCAATTGATTTCTTTTATCTTATTTCCAAAGAAAAGTTAACATATGAACATTATTTTTTCTGGATACTGCTGAACGTGCAATCTCCTGATTACCCTGTACCCTCAGTCCTCATTTTACAAATTAGTTATTTTTATTTCTATATTTTTTAATGAATGTTGTATACTTAAGTGAATTTTTATTATTGTTCGTCATTTAAATTGTAAAATCGGAAACTAGGGTTCCTTTGATCATGATGTGTATTTTCCACATATGAATTACGTTTCAGATCTGATTTAATATTAACGTTGGGATGGAACTATATAAAAGGTACCAGTGAACTTCGCCGGACATCGTACTTGTCTTTTCGCACCTAAACTCTCTTTTGCAGATTGAGACGATGGTTAAAGGGATAGGTTCGCCATGGCCATTCTGTAGTCTCAGAAACGGGATTTTTTCAGCTGATTTTATCAGTAATAGTGTTTACAGCGCAACGTCGAAATTTGAGCCTTCAAATCCATGTATGTCAAGAAATATGCGCTTTTGAAAGTTAAAAAGACGACTCGTCTTTTCTTGAGACTAAAGACATTAACAAATATTCAAGACTCGAAACAACCCCCAATAATGGCGAACTTGTCTCTTTAAGACATTAGACATAATAGGCAGAATAACTAACAATAAGATCTGATTTATTTCACTGAAAGCCACGAAAGCATATACATTCCTCCAACGAATCAGACTATTTGTACAAACCTCTATGCATGGATGTTTAGTAGTGATTTAGGGATGACCAGTTTCCGAATTTCATTTATGACAAATGTATTTAATTACACGCCCTTATTCCGTCCGAATAGTTCAATTTGCGTTTTGTTGTGGCATTTTTGCATAATATACAATTGTACGTATTTCTGTTTTATGAAATGTTTTATGAGGTGTTTTTTATCATTTAAATCCTCATCCACTCCGTCCACATATCACAGACGTTTTTAAACAGATATGATGTAGTAGGGCGTACCGCAAATACAACTGAATCACGACTGAAATTCGTATTTTTAATATATTTCAAACCTATCCGTTCTTAAAGTCTTTGAATGGCATTTAGCAATTGTGAGTACGATATATAGACACAGCTTTATGGAACAACAATCACTGGTTAAAGTTTTATGCAACGTTTCGACGTGTTTCCCCCGTCGTCCTCAGGCACATAATGAGAAGACGTGATGGGCAAACTATATATACATTAATGCTTATTATTAAGAACACACAAGAGATAAATGATTTATGGTCGAAACGTTGCATAAAACTTTAACCAGTGATTGTTGTTCCATAAAGCTGTGTCTATATATCCGTTCTTGTATTGCAATACGAATCTAATTATAGTGCAGAATGTGAAAATGAAAGTGATTTCGAGGTTCATCAACATTTTTATTTGCAAAATTTTAATTTTTTGTTCATCAACTTGTTTCGTATCGAGTCATTGTTTGAGGGCACAAAGTATTGCAAATTTAAGCTTCAAAATGTGATAATGTTTAATCAATATTACTTTGATATTAAGAAAATTGAAACACATCGTCATGGTTATGAAAAAATATATGGATTTAAAAAAACTCAATATTGTCTATTGGTAAACAAGTTCGATAATAGTTTATGCACAGCCTTAAGCGAGGCAAAGAATAATAATTACTTACAAAGGTCGATGAGTAATATAAGATAGACAAACGAGTTCAATAATATTATTTGTCGAGCCGAGTTAATGAATAGAACTTTTTTCTAATTTTGCACACAGCGAAGAACCTTTTAGTACCATTTTAGTTTAATGTTCATTAAAGTTGATAATTGATGTAAAAGAAGTATGTTCTCATCCTGTGATCTTGGCCAGTGCTTCTATAGGAGAGTATCTTGTATAACACTCAACGTGGTAAGAATCATTCCACAGCACATAGTGTCGAACCAATTTCACGTGAAAAGTGTTTGTTTTATAATGATATTTTTAATGTTATGCAGTAATTAAGATAAAGGTATATATTTGTACCCCGGTCTACACTATCTCGGGATTTGAAAGAAACACTGTAGATCTATTTTTATAGTTTACCGTATCTAGTGTTACCTTCATTATTTTTGTATCGATTTTTGCCTGGAGTTTTTGTAATTAATTTTGTGCAAATCAATCAATCCGTCCTGGCGTCTTTGAAAGTGCATGATTTATACAGTAATGGATCAATATTTATAACTGTTCCATTCCATGTCATAAGAACCTTAAAGTTGACTCGTCGTAAATGAATTAAGGCAGAATAATATATATTTTGAAATCTATGAGTTAATATGACGATATTTTACAGTTTTTTCTAAATACCATCAATTTTGATTTTACAATCGTTTAAGTAATTTAAAAGAAATATTTTTTTTCGCTGGTGGTTTGAACTGTACTAACAACATCCACGAGATTTATATAGAAGGTGTTGAGTTGACTTATGAGAATATTTTGAAGACGATTGTCAAGAACTTTCTATATATTAGAGGTTCTGTACCATAAAAAAAAAATTCCACACGAACTACTTACCAATGAAATTTACCAAATTCCAAATACGAAAAATAAGAAATTTTATTGTAAACTAAAGCTAAAATTTGAAAACCCCAAGTTGTCCAGGTGCTTGTATGTAGTTTATGTTGAGAAAGTACCAATCTGGCTCCAGATGCAAACATCCCAGACATTTGCTAAATCTTTGAAGAAATAATGACTCATTCGAGATGCAAATCAATGCTGTTTTTCGAGCTATTTTTCATTGTCGATTTTTTTAGATCTTTAGCGGATGAGCTATGAAAACGCTATGTTATGTCTGAAGCCAAATACCATGGATTTTTAATTGGCAAACGAGGTTAGCGACCATGAATTTTTGAGCTGAAAATAGGGCTGGACAGGACAATCTCATCATATTAGGACTTTCTGTTATCCCGACCTATTTTGTGATTGTGTGCCTAATTAATTTGTGATATAAGTTATTCGAAATACATTCCCTTGTATAATATCAAAGTTAAATATTGTATTGTTATCTTTTTTCAATGTTTTCATATTATCTGTTACTCTGTTATTTTAGATTTTATTGTATATTAAATTATTCTTGTTCGTTCTTTGTATTGTTTGCCATCTTTTAAAAGCTATAATGGCCCAATTACAGTAAATGCAACAAAATAAGATCCCCGGTACCACGCTGCAAATGTGGAAGACATACGCTAGTATATCATCCATTATAACGATTCGTAGATTCATATTAGCACCCACTCTTTGAATTTATTTATTCTTCATAATGAAAATTGGAAGAGGGGCCGAGAAGTAGCTTGAATGCATAGAATTTCAACGTTAAAGTACTTTTTTGACTTTTGCCCCTTTCGGGTGACAATACTTCCCTTCTCACACTGGTCTAGTGAGCTTTCTAACAATATCAAGATCGCTTGCTACACATCAAACGTGGCTAAATAATCTTATACTAAATAACCTTTCTACATTATATATATTAGTGCATATATATAATATCAATTATCTGCATCCTGAACCCAACATAGATGTTATGCAACTGTTCAAACAATCCACTGATTCCATCGTCCCGTCTTATTTGTCATAATTTCTAATTAAATGTCATTTAATTTCCAGCTACAACCGTAAACAAACTCAAAGACCGTAAATTTCTTCATTTTTTCTAACTAATGTAGTATATAAAATGGTGAAATAAGGCTTAAGAGACATAAGATTGAACCTTTTCAAAGTTATTATTATGACAACGAGTTAGGATAGCAGAGATAATGTTCATGTTGTTGAATAAGACCGATCACCGTTAAACATATTTATTCCTCAAAATCAGATGTATAAAAAATGGTTATCGGAACTTTGGCGAAAAGGCTATCATATCATCATTCATGAAAGAGATACGGCCTTACAAGATGCTTACATTTCAGCTCAGCCCTTTACATTTATAGTCAAATGCTGTTATATTCAATATGGATCACTATTACAAAGGTATCAGCCTAAAAAACACTTGCTAGTAAATCGATCGCAATATTGTACTAATAATCAGTGTTTTTCCTTGAAAAAATTACCAATTATCACCAAAATTGTCCTAAATAGTCAGGCTCCAAACAAAGCAAAAATCAATACATCAAAAATGATGAATAATTGTTACAATCTACCATATGACGATAAAAGATCAACCCGAATATGACACACAGTCATCATAAATTATAGTCTGTAGAATAGGCATGAGATGTTAGTCGACAAGGTGGTCCTATGTTGCAAACGATGAAAAAGGCATCCTCCTTGCAAACTCACAAATTAAAATGTATCAAAATCGTAGCCTGTATTTCGAGGTAAGTATGTGTACAAGTGGACGAACCCAAAAATCCCATGGGCATGCAACTATTTAAATACTTTATGCATCACCTTTGACGAAGACACCTTAAGATTATATCCCATTGTGTCGTTTTCGATTGAGTGCGTAAGATGGAACTCAGTGATGAGTGATCGAAAAAGATCCGTAACTGTTTACCTGTTCAAGATCAGCTTGACAAACTCATTGAATTCCGGTGTATATAAATG